TATACCTACTAGGAAATATTTTGATTAATATAATATTAATAATATTTCATCAATATTAAATAAAATAATTATTCTCAGCTCTTTAGCAAATACAAACTTAATTACGGAACACAACCTTTATTTGTTATAATATTAATTTGTTATAACTAATATTATTTTTGTTATACAAAATAAATAAACGAAAAAAGCAGTGATTCAAAGCCAAAGGCGGCAGATCTTAAATGTCTCGCAGCGTCTCAGCGCTATGAGATATTAATATCACTCTACTAATTAAAGGAATGAAAATAAAGATTTGGCAACGCCGATTTAACAAGAGAGAGTTAGGTATAGCGTGAACTGCAGGCACAACAAAGATAGTTATATTGTCCTGCCCACGCGGAAGTCAAATCGTACAGTTTGTTAAATATTTGTAGCGACAACAGCGCCAGCGGTATATACCCGAACTAAAGGAAAGTTTTGTAGGTATATATGGCACGCACTGACTTCCAACCTAAAATTTGAAATAACGCTTTTTTCGACCTCTATATGACATTGCGCTAAAAAATGCACTTTTCGTAGTGATTTCCGAAATCGGAAGTCACATCGTTATATATGAAGTCACAACGTCTAGTCAGTATCTGTTTTGGAAGTCACTTGGTACTATTTATCAATATATATATATATATATATATATATATATATATATATATATATATATATATATATATATATATATATATATATATATATATTTATTTAAAAATTATTATTAAAAATATACGAAAGTAGTTCCTTAATTTCACACTTATAAAAAATTGCTGCGGTCGGCAAAAACTTTGAAAAGTCGGCATTTTATTAAAACATGACTGGAACCTTCGCCACGTCTCTGGGTATAATATATCCAAACTTAAACAAAATCGGATACCTAACTTTTATTTTTTGATTGCCCGCTTGGATTCCTTGTCCTGGACATTTTGCTTTGGTTTTTAACTGCTACATTTTTACCTGTTCCGTTTTTTTGTCTTGCTTTTTTAAGTTATTAAAAATATTATTATTTGCAACTTACTTACTTATTTTTAATATAGACCTTTTATTTTATTTAACTATGTTATCAACACTAAAATTAATTTAATTAAGACCCCCAAGGAACAACAAATTTCGTTGCCCAGCTGAGAGTGGGCGAAATAATGAATTTACTGATTGTGCATCCCTGCTAAAAATAACGGATTTTTGCGGATGTAAATTCGGAACGAAAGCAGATTAAAGTTGCATCTGCTTATATCTGAGTTTGCCCTATTTGCTACATCCGCGAACACCAGGTTTGTTTTGGTTTTTATACGGTTAGTGCACCCCCGCAATTATCATCTGCTTTCGACCGGTTCAACAACGTTTAGTCCATGTAAGAGTGTGCATTGATCCGTTTTTATACGCGACTGCCTGCATTTGCCCATTTCGCTTCATTCGCGAACACCTGGCTTGTTTTTTTATATGGTTAGTCGCTTTCGACCGGCTCTACAACGTTTTGTTCATGTCTGCATTGGTCCGGTTTTATACACTTTTACATTTATTCGTCTATTTCATGGTCCCAGAAGAAATCCATAGTCCAGTTTCATCCGCAAACGTCTGCTTATATCGGGTTTAATCCCTTATTGCCCAAATTTTGCCGCCTATTTTTATCCTGTTTTATCCGCATTCCCATTTTCATATAAACCTAGTACGTTTTCCAGAAACAGCGTGTTAAAGTTTTAATAATAAATCAGTTTTTATTAATTTAAAAGTATTTGCATAGGTTTTATTACCTATTATGTTTATTAGGAGTTACAAGGGACATATTAATGTAATTTATTTATTTCCATTATTTCCACATAGTAAAAATCACTGTATTTCACTGTTTTTTCAAAGTTTAATATTTTCTTTAGATTAAACAATTAAAGTTTTTTTAACAATTTCAGTTTTTTTTTGTTCAATTTTTTGATTTGGCTCTGTGGCGAGCAAAAAAATAAGTTTTTATTTATTTTCTTCAAAATAAGTAGGTATAATTTAATAAAAAAATTTAAGAAAAAAAAGTTGTTTTTAAATTGTTCAATTAAAAACATAGCACCAAATATTTAAAAGAAATTATATAAACATGGACGTAATGCATGTACAGAAGATCAACAGCAGATGATTGAAGATGTTTTGCTTACTGACCGAAAGACAGTAATTTGCAGATAAAACCGGTCGAAATTAGATGGAACAAAATGAGGCAAACGAGAATAAAATCTTTCGAAAATAGATGAACGAAGTGCGGGCGATTGTGAATAAAGTCGGACGAAATTGCTTAAGTGGGTATTTGCAGATAAAACCGGATTACTGCAGGTATAAACATAAATACAGCCTTTGCGGATTAAATAGAATAATTGCAGGTATAGAACAAAATTCAGGCAAACGTAAATAAAACTAAACGAAATCAAATAATACAAATGAAGCCGAACAAATGCAGACATAGATTATTTCCAAGAAAACGCGGGTGAAATCTAACAAAATTATAATTGACGGCAATACCGGTCAATGCCAAGCGTTTGCGGATATTTGCACCCCGAAAGCTGACGTGCTGTATTAAATCAGACAGTGCAGGCAAGAAGGGCCATAACCGGATGAAAAACTAGCTTGGTTTTACATCCGTTATCACTAATCTTTTTCAACAGGGATTTCAATTTCAACCCGTGGGCGAAATTTTGTTTTCCCACGGGCTGAAGTTAAAATTGGAAAAAAAGAAAGGAAATTCCACGCTCGAAAATAAAAACTTTAAATGTATTACATCATTACTGCCACAAAATGTTTATGGTTGTAAATAAAATCGTATACAAACCTTGATAGGAACCTCTCGACAGTAATGAAATACTTCCCACCTCGGTATGTAATAAACTATTTCATCTGTTATATTTATATTTATAAAACAATAAATAAATAAATAAAACAATTTTAAATTTTGATAAGGAACAAGTATAGTTAAGTCCATCCGTGGACACACTGTAGGGGTATGAACGGAACGAGGGCTTGAAGTCCCTTTCCAAGGGCTAATACACAAATAAACAATCATACCAAAATGGGACTCGAACCCACGACCTCTCGGTTTTGTTAGGGTATTGTATTCTGTACATCGTACAGTATAATAATTATATAGAAAACTTTTCATAATATTTCTATTTTTGCTACTGTATATAATATATTGAGTTCAATCAGGGGCGTACCAATCGGAAATTATAATTATCTAAATATAAAATAAACAAATACATATAGTGTATATTAGGGTGAGCCAAAAAAACCAACCTATCGGATTTATGGGTTAAAATGAACCTACATACCGAGCAAAAAATTTCCCTGCAAGGCAAAATTTTTTGCTCAATTTTAAAAGGTGTCGGTGAGCATTTTAAGTTTTCCATTGAAATAACACGTAAAAAAATTTTTTTCATTAAAAAGACTATAACTTTTGAACCGTTTGAGATAAAATTTTTTACGTCGCGGATTCTTGTAGAGCATAAAATTTCCCAAAAAATCTATACCAAGATTATTTTTTTAATTCAAAAATTCGTATGTTTGAAAGCTTTGAAAAGTGTAAAAAATCACTTAAACTGCAGTTTTAGTGATTTTTTACACTTTTCAAAGCTTTCAAACATACGAATTTTTGAATTAAAAAAAATAATCCTAGTATAGATTCTTTGGGAAATTTTATGCTCTACAAGAATCCGCGACGCAAAAATTTTTATCGCAAACGGTTCAAAAGTTATAGTCTTTTTAATGAAAAAAGATTTTTTTACGTGTTATTTCAATGGAAAACTTAGAATGCTCACCGACACCTTTTAAAATTGAGCAAAAAATTTTTCCTTGCAGGGAAATTTTTTGCTCGGTATGTAGGTTCATTTTAACCCATAAATCCGATAGGTTAGTTTTTTTGGCTCACCCTAGTGTATATGATATAAATTATATTTTTAAATATAAAATAAACATAAAAGAGAAGAAAGTTAAAAAGATTCTGTTTCTTCTCGTTCTATACTGAGCAAAGCTAGGTCGCATAATCTTTCTTGAACCATTGTAGCCCTTAAATATGAAAGTATTAGTTTCAGCTTGCTGAAAGATCGCTCGCAACTTGCGATGGATATTGCAATCGTAAGCATAATTTGAATTGAAATACGCAGATTCGGAAAGACGCTTTCATCTCCGTACTAAACAATAAATTCGAGAAGCTCTTTAGACCTCTTTATCTTTAAATTTTGTCTTGTGGATATTAGCATTCGAACATCTAATATTTCTTCGTATAACTTTTCCCCGTCAACATCACAAACTTAGAAATCTCCAAATTTTTTATATTTATTTTTTAAATTCTCGAAGTCGTTTGTACAATAACACAGATTTTTTACATTTAAAAGAAATCCAAATCTAGCGTCGGTTTCATGCAGGCGAGTGAACCTTTCGCTCATTTCACAAACAATATGATCCAGCGATCCCTTCATCACTCGTTTTATTTCTTTCTTAGCAGTTAACCCAGCATCCATCGCATTCTCTCCATCCATACGTTTTTTTTTCGCCTTTGACGCTTTTCAATCAATCAGTACATCCCATTCCTGGCAAAGATTAAAACCTTTCTTAAGTGAATCATTAACTAACCTCTCTCTTTCATTAGAAAAATAGTTACGGAGGGCTTTAATATCTAAGGCAGCATTATTAAAATTCATTTTAGGATCCTGAAGCCGTTTTTGAACACGGGCAATAGACGCAAGTACGTTGTTCCTAAATCCGTTCCTAAAATCGTAGGGCAACATGCGATTATATAGAAGTCTTGCTTCACTTCTTGTTTCAATTGTTTGATTGACATCATCTATTATTTCTTCAAGAACTTTCAGCATATCTTCAAGATATTTGTTAACCGGCTTAACTGCTTCAATCCTTGCACTCAATCTTGTTTCAGATTCTGATTTTACAACACAAGGAACAGCGTTTTTAAGTTTTTCCCAGCGCAGAGTGGAACGAGGAAAGAATACTTAGAGAGCTTCAATAGTTCCGAAAAAAGTGATCATTATAGTATCCTGCTTGGCAGCATGTACACCAACCAAATTAAGTAATTGATTATCGCAATTCACAAATATCGCCAGATTATTTTTTTCGATTATTCTTTGGTGAACACCGGTTCGATGCCCAGTCATCACAGCAGCATTGTCATAACATTGTGAACGACAATCCTGTATATTCATATCATCTTTATCTAGCTGTTTAAGGATTTCATCAACTAGGCTTCCAGCGTCCTTTTGACTTATCTGGATGAAACCAAGAAAGGACTCTCTAACGCGGACAGATTTCCTCTCAAAATTAACGTATCTCACTTATTCTGACATCTGCTCTCGATGTGCCTGATCAGGAGTCGAATCAAACTTGAGACCATAGTATTTTGATTTGCGAATGCTTCCCAATAAACTCTGGCGAACAGTGGTCGCCATTAGATGAATAAACTCGTTCTAAACACGAGGTGAAAAATAAGATGTGGGTCATTCCACGTTACTCGGGGATTTTTGTCCCGCCCGTCACAATTAAAAATTGTGAGTAAAAACTCCACGTTATAAAATTTATTTTAAAATATTGTTTATTATGCTTTTATTAAGTTATAAGTACAATAAAAATATTATTATAAAATATTAATTTAATAACTTGTGGTTTTTAATTTTTAATTGTGACGGGCGGGACAAAAATTACCGAGTAACGTGGAATGCCCCATGTATTTCCAGCATCATTTCTAACGTGAGTAAGATGGTTATTCATGAAGGGGTCAAATATGGCCAGAAGCTTTATTAATCCAAGGAAATTACCAATATCATTAGATTCGGATCCGTCGCATGTTCTAAGTGACTTCCTGTAACCTCGTAAAGCAAGATTTTGAGTTGCAAGAAATTTGATGCAGTGAAGGATTCTCTTTAATAAATTACGCCATTTTTGTTTTTCTGCCTTGATCTAGTTTTGAAGTTCAGCATCAATAATCCCTTTTTTCGCTGCTAAATTTCTTTCCATTTCTTTCCAATGGGTGAAGCACTCACGATGGTTCTTACCCTTTTCATGTGTAATGAGCCTTTCAGGTTATTTCCAGTGGGTAAATCCTTTTTTATCATAGTGAAAAGATAAGACAACAGATGCAAAAAGCAGATTTTTTAGACGGGGAATAGACCAGCGCGAGTCACATATTCACCGTGGTTTCCTAGTTTTTTTTTAAACTAACTTTTGTTCATATAATGGTTATTTGTTGGTAGAAAAGGACCCTTAATGTTTTGAAATTATTTTGAATCCATTTTAATTATTTATATTTTTAAAATATCTGATAAAATTGCTTTTCCAGTTGTCTTATTAAATTGTAGAAGTCCAATATCATGCTGTTTAATTACTTCTGGTATGACAGATATTGAGATTTCCACATCATTCACAATATCACCCTTACTAACTAATTCTTCCACTAAAATATTAAATTCTTTAGTAGCCTTGGAACTCGTAGCCCCCCCACTGCTCTTAAGTTCGTCACACTCAGAATTATCTAAATTGACATCTTCCTCGTTTTGTTATTATACATGTCGATGAAGGCAATTAATAATAATAATAATAATAATCGTCTTTATTTTTTTTTTAGTAAAACATTACAATAATATAGATTATTAAATACTTTACATAAAGTGGCACACAATGGCGAAGTTTAGCCCAAGGCTACTCTTACACTTAACCAAGTGTGATATTATAATTGGTGTTTAATAAGACTAGAAAATAAAATAAATAAGAAATAGCAACAACAAAAGTATATACATATATACACATATGTATATATATATATATAAAATAAAGTAATAAAAACAATATGAAAATTAAACAAGTTAGTTAAAAAATTAAAAAAAAAATATATATATTCCTAAACTATATATCTATATACTGTATAACATATAATTACTCTCTTAAACAACAAAATTGTTTACATAATAATATTATAAACTTAAATGGAAAAAGAAGCTCTTATACTTTTTTTAAATTTATTTAGAGACATAGATTTATAATTATTATCAATTGAGTTGTAGTAAGTTACTGAGTTAAAAGTGAAGGACCGGGTGAATAAAGCTGTTGAGGTAAAGATAATAGGCGAGCATGTCGTGTGTGGCGATCGTGTATGTCATGACCAAAAACTAACTTTTGTCTTAAGTATAGAGGTGTAGAGGTAAGAAGAATTCTGTGCACAAATGTTAAATAGTGAAGCTTTACAACATCGCCTGGTTTGAGCCATCTAAGTTCAGCTCGTTTGATAGATACATGGTCATATTTTCTGAGGTTAAAAACAAATCTCACACATGTATTTTGTATACGCTGAATACAGGTTTTAGTTTTTGTCAAATATGAATAAAAAAAACTGACAAGAAATTTGATCGAAACCATAATAGGGCAGCTTGGAACAAAGAAGAGAGTGACTTATGTTATCGAACGCCTTTGAATAATCCAAGGAGACCAAAATAGCAGCTTGTTTTTTATCCAAGGCTTTAAAAATATTATCAGTAAGATACAAAAGGCACGAGGTGGTACTATGGTTTTTCCGAAAGCCCGATTGATTTACAGGCAGAATACCGTTTTTGTCGAAATATTCAACAATTTGAAAATTTACTATTTTTTCCAAAACCTTGGAAAATACCGGTAACAAACTAATGGACCTAAGGTCCGATACATCATTTGGATTGTTTGTTTTGGGGACAGGACAAACAATAGCTTCTTTACAACTCTCTGGAAAGAACCCCGTTTCAAGGCAGCAATTGATTATGTGTGTAATATATTTTAAAATATTTGGAAGACAGTACTTAATCATATCTAATGATATATTGTCGGAGCCGCATGCATTCGAGTTTAATTTTGCTATTATTTTATAAACATAACTATAGTCAACAAGAGAGAAAGAAAAGGAAATATTATTTTTAAACTTATTACTTTTGTAAAAAGATAAAACTTCTGGATTTACTTCAGTGGTGTTATAAACAGACATAAAATAATCATTTATGATAGTTGGATTACTTATATGATCAGGCAAGTCAGGTCTATTTTTACTAGTTACAGCAAGGTCATTTAAACTTTTCCAGAGGTCTTTAGGACGGTTTTAAGCTCTAAGATATTCTAAATATGCCATTTTTTCCCTTCTTTCCGAAGATAAAGCAAAATTTCGCATTTCTTTGTAATGATCCCAATTTTCTTTAGTTTTATTTAAATTAAATGCTTTTAGTGCCCTTCGTTTTTCATTGAAAATTAGTTTTAATGTATTGGTTAACCAGGGGGCCGAGGGCTTGTTTACACGAACGGTTTTCAGTGGTGCATGAGTATTAAATAAATGTATTATGGCTGAGCTTAGTACATTTACTTTAGCATTTATATCTTGTAAGTAGAAAATATAATCCAAATTTACACGAGATAAATCTTCTTTAAATTCATCAATGTTTATGTTTTTTAAGTCTCGAAAAGTAATGAATTTTTGTCTACATTTTTGTAAAACAATCTTAAATTCACAAAACACCAATTTATGATCAGATAGCGGATACGTGTCAAGGGTTCCATAATTTGTAACTAAACTTTCATTATTTATATAAATTGGATCAATCAGAGTAGCGGAATTTCCTGCAATACGTGTAGGCTCATTTATAATTTGTACTACCCCATGTAAATCAGTACAAGCACTAATACAGTTGTTTACATTTAAAAGATTTATGTTAATATCCCCCAGAATGATGACCACGTCAGAAGACGACATAGCAATCGGCAAGATATTATCAAATAATTGTATTAATTGACTAGCAAATTTAATGGAGGGATTGTAAACAATTATAACAAAAATATTTTGTTCAGCAGTTTTAAATGTAAGACACATAAATTCAATGTCCGGAATTCCATCAAAATGATACTCAATTAATTGTATTTTTAGATGTGATTTTACGTAAACACCAATACCGCCACCAACGCGACCAAGCCTATCCCTTCTATAAAATTTATAATCTTGAATAAGAACCAAATTTGAATCTATGTTTTCATTTAACCAAGTTTCACTCAAAGCTATTAAATCAAAGTTATTTTGATTAACAATGTTACGAAATAAGTTATTGTTTGTGAATAATGAACGAATATTCAGGTGTGCAATATTTAAATTTTTAAAATTTGTAGTAGGCATTATGAATTATAATCTATTTTAGACACAAGAGCTTCAATCTTCATTTTATGGATTTTACAACAGCTATCGTAAACAGCATGATCAACTGGTAAATTTGTTTTGTTTATTTTATTATAATCCAAGCAATTATTACATTTAAAATCCACTTTTGCGGCTGTACAGACTTTAGCTTCATGATTCATAGAACATTTTGGACAGGTCATGCTATTTTTACAATCTTTTATGATATGATTATATTTACAGCATTTAAAACAACGAGAGATTGAACAATAATCATCAATTATACAACTTTGCCACCCAATATAAACCTTTTTATTTTCTAACAACACTTTGCGAAGACTTGGTGAAACTTCCAAAATAATGTTATCACTATATAGTTTTTTAATGCGAGTAATGAACTTGATGTCAGTAGGTAAACAATTTAAATTAGCCCTAGAGATAAAATTGTCAACAAAATGGTTGTCTATTTCATAGTCTTTATCGACACCATATATAATTATACGTGGCCGAAGTTTAGTGGGTTCGTTAAAGGAGTATTTGTCTCCAAATTTTTCGGTTAAATTTAATTTTAGTTTGTCTAGATCTTCTGAACCACCACAGTTTATTAAAAATCCATTTTTTACACTTCTAGTTTTTAATATAGACACGTTTAGTTCCTGTGGGTTGATGTTTGATTTGATTTCCTTAATCATAGATTCGTTTTCTACATTAGACTTAGATCTTATTATTGCAACAGCTGTTTTAGGTTTGTTTACATTTTTATTTACGGTGTTTTTTATCGAGTCGCGGTTTTTAACCGTAGCGCTATAAGAAGGCATCGACCTTTGATTATTACTTAAAATTGAATTATTTAAATTCTTTAAATGTTCTAAATTTTCCTTTTGTAAATCAATAGTATAAGTTTGATCACTTACTAATATTTTTAACAGCTCAACTTCTCTTTTTAGGCACTCATTTTCTTTTTTCAAGATCTCCTTATCCACATCATTTATCCTATTATTACTAGACTTATCAACGCACGATTTGCACTGCCAGTTTAGCCTATCAGCCTTAAACACTTTTGCAATTGATTCAAAACACTTAGAATGAATACTACATTGACAATTTGTGCATCTAATGCCACCAGATCTAAAACTTTCACTACAGAAAACACACTTTTTCTTCTTTTGAGAGTCACCGTCTCCTTCATCGTCCGACGCCATTGCAAGCTCGGAGTATAATAATTCCTTAGAACATGTTGAATTTACAGTATCATACTTTTTAAGATGCTTGTTGAAGTACAAACTGGATTTTCGGTCTGCTTCCTTCTGCAATTTTCGTCCTTTCCGCCCTTCAGCCACACTTCTTTTTCTTTGAAGACATATTATGATGATACAATTACAAAGTAAGGGTTTCGAAATACCCTAAAAGATATAAATAGGTAGTTGTCACCAATGACATGTTTATTTCTAGAAAAGCATTTTAATCAAATAACGCCTGCGCCAACAATTTAAAATAAAACAGGACCGCAGAAAATCCAGTTAAGAGGTTGAAATACGCTTTAAAGAATGCACTTAAAAAATTAATTTTGTACTTCATTAAATATTTTTTGTTTGGATATTGAACCGCAAGCCACTAAAAACTAATTTAATGTTTGTTTTTAATGTTAAATTCCCAGTAGGTTTGATTTATTGAAACTCGATATTAGTGTAAAATAGAAAATTAGAAATGGACAGAAAAAACCAATTAAAATTTTGGGGGCGAGAGAGATCTTACTTATTATTAGTGAAAAATTAATTGTTAAATATTATAATTTCCAAATTATATACATCTTTGAAAAAACATACAAACTAGATTTTAAAAACACAAGATTCATGTCAATAATAATAAAATAAATAAGTAGGTAATTCAAATGCAATAACGGTTTATTATACATAATTTTTGTTTGCGCCCTCTCCCCAATCAAAAAGATTTTAATGAAGTAGACTGTCAATAATTGTTTTTTATTTTCTAATTTTAAAGACGTGCATATTTTTACTTATTTTATTAAAAAAGGTATAAAGTAATGTTTATAAGAACATCATATTCAATGGATAAAATTGTCTTGTTCTAGAACCTTTCTTGGCCCATAGTAAACTTTAATTAATTTTAATGAGCAGAAATAGTTACCGACATTGTCAAAAACTATCTTTAGAGTAAAGTCCACATTCGGGTATTACATTAAGTTAATTTCCTCACAAAAACGAGCAATTTTAACAAAATCGGCAGAGTGTTTTTAAGATGAATTTAAAAAATACATAATTCAAATATTATCTTGTCATAAAATTTGCATAAATACCTTAAAAACTAGAGCACAATATATGTAACAAAACAAAAAAAGTTCTAATTTTTTAAAAAATTAAAACACTACCAATGAACACTTTTCAAAGTTTAACATAATCTCAAATAAATTCATATTTTTTAAGTAAAAACCGAGCGTAAGCGATTTTTTGCTTCTTCTTCTTTACAAATCTGAACACAGAGCACTGTGTTCACTGATATTTTTTACTTGCTGCACGTGCTATGAATTCTTTGTCGGCGCTATAGTACAAGGAGCCTAATTTTTACTTAAAATAACAAAAGGAAAATTACTCATAATAAAATTACATTTACGAATTTTGCGCCTTCCTTTGAATCTAATTTTTACTTAAAATAACAAAAGGAAAATTACTCATAATAAAATTACATTTACGATAATTTTGTGCCTTCCTTTGAATCTGAATTGTAATGGTTTATTTTGGTATTTAAGTTTGGTAATTTACGAATTTTGCGCCCCCCCTTAAATGGCGCCCAGGGCACGTGCCCTACCTGCCCCACCGTAGGTACTCGACTGGGTTCAATATGTGCATGTTTATTGAGTTAAACAACTAAATGATTCAAAAGATATATATTTTTAATAAAACAACCCCACAAAAAAAAGTATGATGTACGACTGACCAGAGTGATCACATCCTATGGTTTTGGGTGGCTGACTTCGAATCCGTGGTCGGAATTTTGGTATCATTCTTAAAAACGCGTAATTTTTATGCGATCTCGATCATAAATTCGGATTCAGCGACAAAAAAATATATCGACATGGTCTCTTTTGGTACAAATATAATTTTTGGGTACAAATATAATGTTAATATTATACAAAAGTGCTCTTTTGTATATATATATATATATATATATATATATATATATATATATTAGGGTGTCCCTTATATGGGTAAATTTTTTTTTTCAGATATCGAAATGCATACCTCTTAATTCTTTTTAAACTACCTAGACTTACTCAAATACAAAATTTTATCTTCCTATGTCAACGTTAACCCGTGCCGACAGAGCCGTGAAGATTTTGAAAATCGCTGTCTTTAACGCTTATCCTTGTGTAGCTAAACGAAATGAAATATTTGAAATGTATGAAATGTATAAAAATAAAATTAAAAGAGAAAGTTAGAAAATAGGTTTTATTTATTAATTAAAAGAACATCACAAATCAGCAAGGATATTTTTTTTAAGGGTCTCTTTTTTACAGTCTGGATACAGATTTCTATGCTCTTGTACACAGCGCAGCAAAAAATGTTTTTGTTCTTCTTTTGCAGTAATTAAACCATGAAAATCTTGCATAAGTTTTACAGCTCTTTCAGCTGTATCATTCACGGCCCTTAAAGAAATAAGCCTTCTTTTTGCCTGCAAATAGGCAACATCTTCTTCCCATGTAGAAACGGGTTTCTTTAGGAAGTTTTTATCAAAGTTTAAACGAGAAAATAAATTTGTGTCTTGTTCTTTTTTCTTTCTCGGCTAACTTTTTATCTACGCCCGCTAAACATCCTGGACGCCCTGGTTCTCTTTGTTTATGTAAAAAAAAATTTTATCTTCCTTTATTTTCATCTATTCCAAAGCATTTGCGTGTGCTATATCGAATAAATTATCTAAATTGTTTTGAAAGTCCTCCTCACGGCGCTTGTAAACATCTTACGTTTTTTTGTAATTTTTTTGTAACTCTCTCCAAGGTTAAGATCCACAAGTTTTTTTACACAGTTAGGTATAGGTCTGGTAGGGATTCTAGCTTTTTCCCAGAATATAATACATTCTCGAACGACAAGATTTGCGCTTTCATTAACAGTCAATTTAACTTCGCGAATGTTAAAAAAGAGGACTGCAAGAACTTGACGATTAGACGGTAAATTTGCTCCAGTTATTTGATAGTTTACGTCACCAACTAAGAAAATACTTTTTTTATTGCTTCTTAATGCCACTGCCATTTTTAAAACAATAGTACGCGCCGCTAGTTCCGCGTATTACGACTTGCATCGAAACATGTCCATACAAGTTAAACTTGTATGGACATGTTTCGATGCAAGTCGGCACGGGTTAGCGGTCTCCAAATGAGGTAAAAATTTATTTCCGAGTGTTTTAGGAACAAATGAACAAAATTAAGACGTATGCGTTAAAAAATTAAAACTTTGAAAAATAAGGGACACCCAAATATAATTATATATTAAACACCTCACATAATTAATGAACGGCCCCTAACTTGTATGGACATGTTTCGATGCAAGTCGGCACGGGATATCGGTCTCCAAATGAGGTAAAAATTTATTTCCGAGTGTTTTAGGAACAAATGAACAAAATTAAGACGTATTCGTTAAAAAATTAAAACTGAAAAATAAGGGACACCCTAATATAATTGGGCCAAAAAAATCAACTATTTTTTTTTTGAAAAGTATATCGAAAATATGGTTTGGGGGACAAAAAAAATTATTGTAAAAAATTGAGTCCATAATATTAATATTAAGAGGTCTATCATCAATCTATCTATCTATCTATCTATCATCAATTTTAATTTTTTTTCCCTCATCAAGTTTTTGTCTCAGAACTCCCAAACCATTGAGTTTCAAAATTTACTTAAAAGAAAATTAAATGCTCTACAAAAAAGGTTAAATGAAATTTTTCGTCAGATGAACCGTTTTCTTAAAATCATGCCCTAAACATTGGTATAGTTTTACATTTTGATCTTTTAACTTTGGAATTTTAAAATTCATGTAAAAATCAGTACCCATAAAAAACCGATAAATATTCTTATGTGAAATCAAATGCTTTACAAAAAAAGCCTCTTAACATTTTTGGCTAAATTCACTCAATCAAAAGTTATTCAAGGTTAAAGTTGAAGTCAAAACGAAATTCTTGTCAAAATAACTTTTGATGGAATGAATTTAGCCAAAAATGTTAAGAGGCTTTTTTTGTAAAGCATTTGATTTCACATAAGAATATTTATCGTTTTTTTTATGGGTACTACCTCTCGGTTTGTAATCAGCAGCACTGTCACCACCGTCAGTATACCAGTTAAAAGTTAACACATAATTAAAAATATTTTTAGCTTACTTATATTTAATAAATAAATAATAAAGTTTATAAATTTACAAAAACATATTTATTTGGCAGCGTTTATATTTGGTTTAGCAACATTGTAAATTTAACACAAATTTGGTCAAATTACCTTGTTTTTTTTCTTAAATTTATTATTATTATATAATATGGTTTACTTTTGTTTTTTTTGTTTTAGTTGGATGAAATAAATCAATTATTTTTACCACACATGAAAACTAAGTTAATGTGGTACTATCAGGATATGGAAGATATTGAAGTACAACCTGTTATGGATATAAGTAAATCTAGACAGTTGCAACCTAGCACAAGCAGATCTAATTTAGCACAAGTAGTATCAAAATTAAAAAAAAAAATATTTTTAACCGAAGGAACTTCTACACCATTGACTGGAATATGCATTTATATATTTAGGACTAATAGTAGTAAGCAATTACCAGAAGAAGGTTTTCAAAAGGTAGGGGAGAGTGAGGATGTTTGGGTCAGTTTTCAAACAATTTGCCAGTGTATTTGGAAATGAGACATAAAACATTTTAATATTGGACAGTTGTAAATAGTAATGTTTGACCATCAACGTCCAATAAAAAAAATTGTATTGCTACATAGGACCACTTGAAAATACAAAAATTCTAGAAGTCACCTCCTGACCCAAACCTCCTTTATTATGGGATGTTTGGGTCAGGTATTGGGGTCAAATGGGTCACTTATTGTTGGTGCTGTTTTATGGGTAATTGTAAAAGATTTTTGTATTATATAGATGTTTATTGCATACAAAGTAAAAGTAAATATGAAAATATAACACAAAAAATTTTAATCTAAAGGAATAAACAAAAAAAAAACATTTCCGTGTGACACAAATAAAAAAACTCATTTTTAGTTTAGATTTTCAAAATTGCTCAAGTCAATATCAAAATTAAAAAAACTTTGAGTTCTGCTGGTACCAGCTACGTTGTTCGGGGGACTTAAACGTAAAACTATATCGCAAAATTCCACTTCTGAAATATCTAAAGTTTCAGGGAAAAAGAACGTGTTTGAGTTTGGTTTCTTGCGTAAGAAATTTATAACACAATTACTTCCTTGTTCATTTACATTTTGTATTTTACCAAAATAGTGAAGACATGTTCGTTTTGTGGGGAATTTGACAATTACATAATCTCCAACTCCAGAACAGGTTGCAGAATGATCAAAATCTGCAGGTCTGAGGTCATCTTCTGGATCGTATTTGGAAATGTCCGGCAGTTCATCACTAACTTCGTCACTTTCACTATCTTCTGGTATGCTTGGCTTTGTCTTCTTTTTCTTCATCCTTTTTTGACTGTCATTAAATACGTTCCTCTTAACTTTAGGCATTTTTTTGATAGCTCTTTCATTTTCCAACCTTTCTATTTCATTTTTTTCCGGAGTTTCTGTCAATATTCGTGTAGTTCCTTTGGCACGTCCCCGTTTTAACGCAGTTCGAGGTTTTGCCTTCGGATATATGGCATCACAGATTCAGGAGTTACAAGACAGTCGTTATGTGCAGAATTTATAGGTGTAGCGGAAATTGCAGATAAAGATGAGGTTGAGGGCGTAGGTTCAGTTGTCTCGTTGATTTATTCTGGTTGTGAACGGTCGGTAATAATAATAATAATAATAATAATAATAATAATAATAATAATAATAATAATAATAATAATAATAATAATAATAATAATAATAATAATAATAATAATAATAATAATAATAATAATAATAATAATAATTATAATTATAATAACATAATACGTGTTCTTAATCGTAATGTTTTAAATAGTAGCCTCCTTAAATGTTTTTTATTGAGATAATCCTAGAGCCCTCAATCAGCGGATATCTCCCACTTTGCGTATTGTTCTTGTTGAGTTTGTACTGAACGAAACACTGGTAGGTTCTTCAAGTAGTTTATTGAACTATATAACTTTTTAATTACAATATAACAAAGTACATTTGATTGACTCTCAGACCAGAGCGGAAACTCAAACAGTATTGCTACACGGCGTACATAAAGTAACTAGTAACTATTAATATAACAAAATAGACATAACATTTTTCCGACGAATTCGCTCACTACGCCTCAATAACTGAGTAGGCTTATTTTGAACAGGGGGTACGTCCTCAGTCACTGGTTGGTTTAACAACTGATTATTGCTGAGATTTGTTTTTGTACTTTCAACTGTGAAAATACCTTCAGTCACAAAAGGTTTTGGTTTAACAATACTTGGAAAAACATACTTATACTTTAAGGTAGTATCAACATATTTTTGCAAACTATTTACATGCTTATACATAAGAATATCATCTACATTTACTAAGTACGTCACTGCGCTTACATGTTTAACAATTATACCCTCTTTCTATTGTTCCTTAGAATGTGGACATAATTTCCCTACCAAAACTTTATCTCGTACATTAAATACTGATGACCTAATAAAATCTTTTATTTTCTTAAAACATACCTTTTTCCCTCCTAACAAATCAAGCACCGTCTTAGGCTTTTTCTTAAAAACTACTTCATTTGGACTAAAACCAGTTGTTAATGTAGAATTTTGCATAAGCAACTTTTTCAACGCTTTTTTACTGTATGAACGTTACGGAGGCGACTTTAATACATTTATTCCATTTAAATTACAGAATCTAATGAACCCACTCGAATTAAAAGGTGGACCATTGTCACTTACAAAGATACCTGGCAACCCCATATACGCAAAAGTAATTTTCAACTTTTTTATGGTTTAATTAACATCCGTACCTATATTCATAGAGTGTATATCCAACCATTTTGATTTATTATCCACTATTAACATAGTTTTGCCGTTCAAATACAAGAAATCTATATGTTCCTGATCAAAAACATTTTCTGACTTGGGCCATGAAACCATGAACTTCTCACTATTATTTTTGAATCTTTCACATATACTAGACGAATTTATTAAGGTTTCTAAATTCGACTGCAAACTAGGCCACCATAGTATTGAACGTACGATCATTTTAGATCTCACAAGATCTCACTAGACCCTTCCGGGTAACTAGCCACTCTCTGTGAAAATATACATTTTTATCAAAGTATACACATAAATAAAACTATATTTTAACATTTGTCAATAATTTATAATATAAGGGTCACATAATAACAAACACAAAATGACTTACGATCGAAGACCTAGCGGCCAACCGTGTTACAAAATACCGCGCGCCTAACGTTGGCTAATGGAGGGTTCAGATGCAAGTCGGCACGGGTTCCCGTTTATAGAATGAGCTGAAATTTTTACTGGGAGTATATAAACAAGCAATAAATATAATTAGAGGGTATGCGTAAAAAAAATAAAAATAAGGGACACCCTAATATATATATATTAGGGTGGCCCAAAAAAAAAGAATATTTTTCTTCTTCTCGTCTCTTGTGAAAATATGTTGGTTTGTCATGTTTTAAGAGCCCTGTCAAAAGATCAGCACCATTAAAAATTTTTTAGGGGTCGCTCAAGATTTTTAAAAATTACCAAAATCGTCAAAAATTGGATTTTTTTTTATTTTAATTTTTTTTCTCGTTCCGATATTATTTTTTAATTTAAAAATAATAATGATTCTGAAAATTTCAAATCGATATTTTAATTTCTAAAGGTCGCTCAAGATTGTTTTAACTTTCAAAGTAGAGTATTTTGAATGTTTTCGAGCGACCTCTGAATATAAATATCAACGAACTTTTAGCGACCTTTAGAAATCAAAATATTGATTTGAAATTTACAGAATTTTTATTATTTTCAACCTAAAAAATAATATCGAGACGAGAAAAAGAATTAAAATAAAACAAAAATTCAATTTTTGACGATTTTGAAAATTTTTAAAAATCTTGAGCGACCCCTACAAAATTTTTAATCGAGCTGATATTTTAAAAGGGCTCTTAAAACATGACAAACCAACATATTTTCACAAGAGACGAGAAGAAAAAAAATATTCTTTTTTTTGGGCCACCCTAATATATATGTATATATATTTATGAAATTTCTTTGCCGAAAATATAATAGCCAATGCCTCTCGCTCCAACTGCGAATGGTTCTGCCTTAGAAAGAGTTTCCGATGCGAACAATGGGTCTATCCACCCCATTTACCCGCCTCAACACGCCCCCAACACCGTAGGAACTCGCGTCGCACGAAATTACCATAGATTTTTGCGGATCATAATGAACCAAAATTTGATTCTTATTTAACTTTCCCTAAACGCTTTAATACACTCTTCGTCAAATTTAAATTCCATCCCCTTCTCTAATAATTTATACAAAAATTTAAGTTCTGCTGATAGCATTGGTATACCGACTATAATAACCTAGGTAGGCTCTTAACTGAGTTAAATTTTGCCGCTTAGGCGCTTTATTTATGGCACTCAACTTTTCATTTGTAGGGTGAATTCCTTCATTTGTTACCTTATGCCCAAGATACTCAACCTCTTGCTTAAACCATTGGCGTTTTTGCCTGTTTACTTTAATGTTATATTTCTCTAATATCTATACACTATAACACCAAGTGTTTCGATTTCTCTAAAGATTTACCTGCGATTAGAATGTCATTTAAATAAGAATTAACGTTTTCGATTCCTGATAAGACCTGATCCATTACATTCTGGAAAATTGCAGGAGCCGAAGCTATGCCATACGTCAATCTGGTATATTGAAACATGCTTAAATGCGTATTTATAGTTAGATATTTTTGAAATTCAGAGTGAACTTTTAACTGCTGATACACCCCTGCCAAATCTAATACAAAAAAAGGTCCTCTGGAGTTGGCAAAGGGTTTTATTAACTGTGACCCTAAAATCAGTACATATTCGTACGGCCCCGTTTTTCTTTGCTACTACCACAATAGGTGGAGCCCATTCACCCTATGGATAACTTTCCTTACTATACCTACGCTACATAACTGTTTTAACTTGTTTTCTACTATGGGCTTTAATGCATATGGCATTGAATATGCCTTTTTAACAACTGGAGCAACATTGTCTTTAATGTTAAACTTAGGATTGCATAAATTTCCATCAAAAATCTTACTGTACCCAGTCTTAATACCTTTTACTAAACTACCTACATCAAAACATACATTATTTAGACTAAAATTTTGTTTCCATTCGGGATACAATACATCCAACCAATTTCTTCCTAATAATGAAACAAACTTCTTAACCAAACATCAACCCCACTCCTACTACTGTAATGGTTTGCTACATTAAGTTTAAATGTTACTGGATCTAATGCTACATTTAAGAAATTTTTGAAATATACATAAGACATAATAGTTTTACACGCTCCAGTATCTACCTCAAACTCAATACTTACATCATTTACATTAAATTTTACCTTATGAGGTGCACCCATACTTGCACATACATGGTTCATGCAAAACAAATCATTGACATACTGACAAATGCCACCGTTGATCTTGATCGTCCCTGTATTACCTCCTTCCCTGGACATGGCTTACGAACATGCCCATACCTTTGACAAGTATAGCATTTCATCGAACTTCTGGACATTTTCCCTCCAAATGGCTTCTATCACACTTATTACACTTAGGATTTGGGTTTTACCACAGGTTTCTTTTGGTATTTTTGCTTCTTTACTAAATTAACCGTAACAGCACTATTTACTGCAGCACCTCCTTCTGTTAGAGTTTTTACTTGTCTTTGTGTCAACTCTGCAGCTTGTGCTTCCTAAATGCCTTGTTGAAGGTCAAATCTGATTACGACAATAGCTTTCTCTGAATATTTTCATACCTTAACCTACACACAAATTTGTCTCTCAGTGCTTCGTCTAAAAAAGCTTTAAAATTGCATGTATTTGCTAATTTACGTAGCTCCACAATATAATCAGCTATCGCCTGGTCTGGCTTTTGTATACATTTGTTAAATACAAAACGCTCATAAATTTCACTTACAGCAGGTGCATAATGTTTTGTTAACAAAATTTTTATTTCATTATACTTATATTCCACTATTTTCTTTGGAGCACTCAAGTTTTTTAAAGCAGTAAAAACTTGTGACCCTGCTAACGTAATGAACAACGATACTTTCTTGTCATCGTCATTTTATTTACAGTGGATAAATGTTCTATTCCCTCCAAATATGTTTCAAAATCAGTTATGTTTTCGTTGAAGGTTTCAATGTTGCCAATCAAAGCCATATTACTGCCTTTTTACCACAAAATATTTTACACACCGATAAAAATATTATACGTGCCTTTTTTTTTGCCGGTACTTTTGTTACCAAGTTTACTGTTCTCAGTATAAACTACACACACTAAATGTTGTGTTCACCACAATCCTCGTCGCCAAAATGCTGTGTTTGTACT